ACTTCGAGTTATTAACAGGTCTGAAGATTAACCTTTCCAAGAGCACAATAATAGCAGTTGGAGAGGTTGGGAGGGATTTGTTGAGGGAGTGTGTTGATGTCCTGGAATGCAGGATTGGTAAGCTTCCTTTCACATATTTGGGATTGCCGATCAGTGGTGCAATGAAATCAGTGAATTTGTGGAAATCACTTTTGGAGAGAATTGAGAGAAGGCTAGATGGGTGGAAAGCCAAATATTTATCCATGGGGGGGAGAGTGACTCTAATCGAAGTGTTTTATCTAGCCTTCCAACATATTACTTATCTCTGCTAAAGGTTCCACCTAAGGTAGCTGAAAGAATTGAGAAGCTCCAGAAGGACTTTCTTTGGGAGGGTGTGGGTGGGAGAGGAGGGGGCAAGAAATTTCATTTAGTGCGCTGGGATAAGGTGTGTTTACCAAAGGAGAAGGGTGGGCTTGGGATAAGGAGAGAGAATTTTTAAGAGGGCTCTACTGGGGAAATGGTTGTGGAGATTTTTTTTTTTAGGGAGATAGGAGAATTCACTGTGGAAGAGGACTGTGGCTGGGAAATATGGAGTGGTGAGGTTTGGCTAGGAATCGAGGAGGATGAGAGCTTCTTACAGGGTGTTTGGAAGGGGATCATGGCCTTTAATAAATTCAGAGACCTTACTAGTTTTGTGGTAGGGGATGGGTCTAAAATCAGATTTTGGGAGGATGAATGGTGTGGAGTGGGTAAGCTATGCGAGTTATGCTCGAGTCTGTACAGATTATTAGAGTCTGAAATCACTATTAGTGGATGCTATGAAAGAAGGGAAGATCAGCTGACTTGGAGCCCGCAATTCAGGAGGCCTCTGCTGGACAGGGAAGTTGAGGAATGCATCTTGCTCTTAGAAAAACTTGAGGGGGCAAAACCTGCATCTCAGTAGAGAGATAATCTCTGGTGGAAGGAGGGAAAGAATAGAAAATTCACAGTTAAGTCATGTTATATGGCTCTCAGTAGATCCATCTCAGCTTCAAGTCATATGAAAGGCATTTGGGGAAATCCAGTCCCTCCAAGAGTTGAATTGGCCTGGCTGTAGCCATGGATAGTGTATTGACAGTTGATCATTTGAAATCTAGAGGTTTTAGCATGGATAACAGATGCTGTCTGTGTGAGGGGCAGGAAGAGGATGCTACTCACTTATTCATATCTTGTAAATTCTCAAGCTTCTTATGGAAAGTATTCACATATATGTTTGGGGCCTCAGGCTTTCACCCAATTTCAATTGCAGAGATTTTCTCTACTTGGCCCAGGCTGAGTGGGAGTAAGAAGGTAAAATTTCTATGGAGTTGTATACCATTTGCAATCTGTTGGAACATTTGGAAGGAGAGGAACAGAAGGATCTTCAAACATAAAGCTTGCAGCGTGGACAAGATGGTTGCAGTTGTGGGCAGATCAGTGATAGACTGGTTGCTGATTCTTCCAGAGTTCAGCCAAGTAGAAAGAGAAGACTTTGGTTTTAGGAGAAATCCTGGATTTTCAGATATGTATTGTGGTGAATGTTCTCTAATCCGAATTTTGGTCTTTGTATTCGGGTGATGACTTGGCACCTCCTGCTGTAACTTCTTTTTCCCTTTAATAAAATTTTTATTTTTACTTGTCAAAAAAAGTAGAGCAATTAAGAGACTTAGTCAATTTACTAACAGACATAAGGTTAAAGGCGTATTTGGGAACATACAAAACTGAGGACATGGATAATGAATCTATGTCAACATTACCAATACCACAGATGGAAGATGTGGAAGACTGAGAAAGGGAGGAAAACACACCTGGAGTCCCAATCATATGATCGGAAGCTCTAGAATCGATAATCCAATGGGAGGGTTTGGATGCCAGAGTGTGCAAGAGTAGTCGTATTCTGTGGAGAGGAAGCTTGATGAACCGCTCATACTCATCATGTGGGACACCCATCATCTCTTTCCTAGAGGCATCTGTATATGTAGAAGGTGTTTGGTCAACTTGTTGAATTTCCTCTCTCGTACCACCACCATTAGCTACCACATGATTTTCCCAAGTTAAAGGCGGGCCATGTAGATCATAACAAAAGTTGATAGTGTGTCCCTCCATTCCACAGTGTGTACACTTCCTCGGACCATTACCACGTCCCCTACCACGAGCTCCCCCTGAATCTTGGCCTCCAATGTGCTCATCACCACAATTATACATGGGACCATCACCACCATCACCACCACCACCACCTGGCTAACCTCCCTGAGCTCCTGCTCTACCTCCACGATCTCTCCCTCTTGTCATTGCAAAAGTAGAGCTATCAGAGATGGTAGAGTTCTCTGTAGGTCCAAGTGTCTAACAGAAATCCTCTAAAGACGAGCAAACACCTCTTCAAGAGAGGGAAGGGCAGACCCACCTAGTATCTGTGATCTCAGCGATTCATATTCAGACTTTAACCCTACTAAAAACCTGGTTACATCAAGCTGCTCTCTCTATTGTTGCTGAATCTTGACATCAGAAGTAAGGGGATGATGCGCATTCAACTCATTGCGAAGATTCCTCATGTTAGCATAATATTCCTTAAGACTTGATTATCCTGTTGCAAATTAAAATACACCTAGTAAAGCTGGTATACTCTAGTATTATTGTCTTGTCCAAAGTAGAGCTTCTTTGCATGGTCCCAAATCTCCTGTGCATCTTCTTGTTCCCACTCACTGTATCCTTGAGAATCAACAAAGGGTTTTTCTTCTTTCACATGCTTCACCTCTTCTTAGCTCTAAGAAAAACTTCTACAGATTTATCTCAAGGCACATAATTCTCACCATTCAGTTTAATAAATGTTATCTGCACATTTAGGTAATGTGTGGGAATCGTAACACTAGATTTGTGTCCACTGCTGTCTCCCTTAGCTGCCATGAAATTTTTTTTCTTCCCTTCCTTTTTTTTTTCACTCACTTGTCACACCACCTCACTTACTATCACCACACTGCACACTAATGACTGGTTATTGCTGAAAACATCTACTGTCACAGTTTTCAGCACTAATAGTCACTGTTATTCTTCATTTTCAACATCATAAAACCAACTGAATACACCCCACACGCATAGTACTAGGTCTGCAACCAATCAACACTCACTTCACACCATAACACCCATGCAACCTACCTATTTGAGCAACACAAATCAGACCTGCATTCGTCTGTCCACTACACCACCTGAAACAGCCCTCTTCGATCCATCGATTAGAGAGCTCCCTACCAACCACCACAAACGGCCACTGCACCACAAACCGGAGGCATGAGAACCTCCAATAGAAGAAAACGATCACTTCTTTTCAGCCCTTTTGCTAACGTCCAAGAGATCGATGGGAAATCTACAAATAACCTAGGGTAAATGGTGCTGAAAAATTCTGGCAGATCTAAACTTGTTACAGTTGCTTTGATACCATGATAAAGTTCAGATCTATACCATTTTTAGTTATAGAATAACAGAAGAGAAAGAAGAGAGAAAGAAGGAGAAGAGAAGAGAAGAAAAGGCTGGTTCGAACTAGAGAAAACTCACTCTCTCTAGTCGGCCGGATTTTATTTATAAGTTTCTAACTAAAAGCACAAAGACAGTTGTGCCCCTATTTAAGTTTGGGATATAACACTTAAATCAGACTAAAACAGAAATTACCCCACACTCTTAACATAAAGCAAAATGACCAATCACCCTTCTACAGCCGACTTGAACAGATCTTGTTTGAATTGATCTTTTGTTCGGATTTAACCTATTCTCTTTTCATACCTGCTGAGTCCCTCAGTCCTATTCTTTTGGGACTTGCCAAGCATACCACGTATGAGTTTTAGGTTAAACTTGTAGCCATTACCCTGATATTTATCATCTACATTATGACCATATTGACAAATGGATAGCAATTGTGGAGACACCTGGCAGCATATGTTTTGTGTTAGTATGTTTAGGCTTTACATAATTATCTTAAAATGCCAAAAAAAAAAAAAAACACAACACAATTCGTTTTGGTACATACCCACTGTTTTCATTGCATAGGTCTGGGATGCGTTTGATGATGCCTCCTGTTCATGTTTAGCCTGAACTTCTCTTTGGCTGGTTGAGGTTTGACTGATGCGCGTCTTAGTTCTCCTTTTATAGCCCAATGCTAAGGTGACCTGATTAGAATCAAACTCAAACTGGATGAGGTTGTTACCCATAAAAAAACTCTCACCAAGAAGCCCCCACAGTTAGAGTTATTCCCACATCAATCTCTTCCATCTTAGACTCCAAAAAGGAGTCTAACTTAATCTCTCAATCCATATCCATATACCATCCCACTTTTCATGGTTTCCAAAAGGTAAAAAAGAGTGTATTGGTTGTCAATCATTCTAACATTTTGCACAAGGTTTTGACTTCATGGAATATAATTAAAGGTCATGTAACTTTTCTATTGAAAATGAAATAAAAAAGAAAAACGTGTCCTGAGAATAAGAGCTCTAATGCCTCAGAGGGTATGTCCAGCTTAGCTGAGGTATGGAGCTTTTCAACGCACAACCTGAGTAGTAGCACAGGGAGGCTTACAATATTGCAGATGTCTGATTTGGTGTCCACTGCACTCTCTCCTTGGATACTGGCCATTGGGTTGTTGTATGTCCTATCTCTTAAAACATTGTCACTATCAAAAAGGAAACTGAAAATAAGAAAAAAGAATTCTGTTTTAATGCATACTCCTATCATTTGTTAATGGCTTAAGCATAATGCATAGAAACTTCATGGCTCCAAAGTCCAAACTTCAAACCCAAAGGTTACATACTAGTGGATTAAGAATCATCCTTACAAGGAGAAATGATTATCTTATTCCCACATGATTTTTTCCTATAATCATGCTAATTATATTTATTAACTTCTGATCCAATTGATATATAGACTAGATTGTTGCTTACTAGTAACCATTCAACGTTATATTAGCTTCATTTTTCAAACCCCAGTAATGAACATTTTTTTACATGATATTCTTTCAGGATAGACAGGAGTTGTTGCCTTTCCTAAACCTCAGGAGATATAAAGAGATGCAATTTTGTCATCTGGTTTGCTGAAAACGCTCCATTCCCCAACTTGCTTGGTTGTTCAGATCAAGGATTAGATTTCTAGATGCTACACCATCTCCGTGTGGATTACTTATTCTTGCAAATGATCAATTCAATTGCATGGCTAATTCCTGAGTAATATTTCAGCCAAAAAGAAAAGAGAGGCTTTTCCTTGTTGATATGTGAAACTGCTTGAGACCTGGGTTTAGTGAAATGGGATGACACAAAATTGGGGGCACTACATGAGGCTATTAATCCTTGAGTAGTCTATTATAGTAGGCGATTATGTATTTTCCTTATTTCTTTTTAATTCTTTCACAAGTGTTATGTGTTGTCGTTCCCTCTATAAAAGAAATAAATTACCATAACACCACTAAGAGTGGCATGTTAGAATGATATCGAAAAGCAGAATGTATTGAGGTTGTTCTTTGGATAGCCTCTTTCTAGTGTATAAAATGCATACCCAAGCATATTTTATCAATGCATTAGCATCAACTACCTAAACCATTAACAACCTATCCACATTTTATTTGACTGAGGACATGGCCAAGTGGGATGACTAGCCATAGAGCATTGTTAAGATTAGCCTGCAGCCTTGTATGCTGTAGCGAAGAGGGCTCAAGGCCTACTATATTTATGTTCTTCTGAGGTGAAGAACTGAAGAACCAAAATTGCTGAATGAAAAATCGAGTTTCCCTGGGTGAGTGATTTTTATATACAGGCTTCCAAGGTTTTTTAGTGTGTTGCAGAATGTGTTGTTGAGGTCCAATTCAATTAGATCTGTATTCTTGGTTTGAGATCTCAAGCTTTTGGATTTTGGAGCACTCAAAGTTGGATCTAATTCTTCAGGTTAGGTTGGGGATGACCATGACAGATATCAAGCCTGTCCAAAACCAGGAATGAATGTGGTCTTGCAGCCAAATGACTTGACATCCATCACAAGTCAAATATTAGTTGGAGGGACTTTTCTTCCTCCAACTAATTGATGTCTTCAACACCATATCTCACTTGGATGAGCTATGGGACAATTGGGTTTTCAGCATTCTTTGTTTCTGGAAACATATGATCTTGGATGACTAGGTTATATAGCCTTATCATAACAGCTTCATAATAAGGAATATGGGTCCTTAGCTAGAATGCTGAAAACCCACCACAGGACTGACTTTGTCGCATTCTAATCACCACAGGACTACAGGAGCAGTGAATGATTGGACTGGGTCTTTAGCTAGCCTGCCATGGACAAAGCCTGGCCTTCACTCGGTTTAAGCCTTCTGGTGAGGGAACAGAAATGGGCTGACCGGACCCACCAACAGCTGTGAAGAACTTTATCAGTATTTGAATTTGCAACCAAGCATTTAGACAACCATAATTCATATACGTTAAAATCCAATTTGTTCTAAACGACAGCTCCATTCCTCCTTCGGTCCTTCCCCACTCCCACAAGGGGGTGAATGTGTGCGCGGTTTGGTTTATCTCTGCCTTCCATTGCTGTGCAACTGGATTAGTGTGTATGCGGTTCGGTCATGGTCTAACTTTTTGTTCCCAGTCACCCAAATTATGTCATGTTGATTGGATGTAAACTGGACGGAATCTCTCTGTAGAGAGGGTAGGAAATTTCCGAGTCACATACTCTCCTCTTCTACCTGATTGCTTTAAAAGTTGAATGCTAATTGATTAGCTGGACATGGACATAGAAAATTTCCTTTCCTTCCGTTCCCATCTCCGAAGAATGTGAAGATGAGAAGGTTGGGGATTGTCCTTCTGCCCAGAATCCACTACCCAAGTGATAGATCACTATCATCCTTGTTGTTCCGAGGTCTCAGCAGCTGTAACTGAAAGTTGATCAAACAGGTTTACAGCTTGACAAGGGTTTTGGCACGCCAAAATTTATACGCCAAACAAAGACAGAGTGTTTTATGGGTCAGTATTCTTTCTTTTATCACCTTTGTTTATTGGTTATTGCCATCTCAGTTTTTCAATAATAACAATAATAATTCAATAGAAACATCTTTTTCCATGGAGAAAAAGAGCTTCAATAGAAACATCACGCTCCACAAGTATACAAGCAGAATCTATTTGGTACTCAGTGCCCTCTGCAAAATCTTTTAATTATCAGAACCCAGAAGGATGTGATTGCAGTGGTTGAAAATACTTCTTTTTAGGAAAAAAAATACGAATTGAAACGTTCTGAATCCTACTCTCCAGGTCAAATATAACTTATCAAAACAGCAACTTGAGAGGTTTCTCTTTTCCTTTTCTCCGCCACCCAGTTAGGTCGGACCTCACAAGGAAGAGGATACTAGAATAGTATTTGCCAAATTTTTATTTATATTATTTTTAAAATTTATTGATTGTAACCCCTTTCCCTTAAGGTAGTGTTTTAGTGCTGGAATACTTGTTGTTGAAAGTGGAATGTGGAAAAGATTCTAAACCTAAAAACAGCTTAAATCCAAAGCTATTAATAATAATTTAATAGTATTTCATAAACTAATAACCTAAAATTAGAAACTTTTCAGCACCTATTTTATCAAATACCACCACGGCTTGAATCTGCTATCCATGAGACACTACCTATACCCCACCCACAAGGCGCTAGAGCCTTATACATCAGAAACATCTCTCCATGAATGACAACATACAAGTACAGAAAATGTTCCACTGTTCCCATTGTGTGTAGGGTCTTGTGGGTATGGTGTGGGCAGTCTTCTTAGTAATAGATCCAGACTCTCACCCTCACCCATCTTCAGGGAAATACTAGACCACGGGATGATTCCTTCTAAAGGACATGGTGGTCAAAGAAAGTAATTTTGTTGTTTGGCAAAAGTGCCCTTCAAAATTGCAGTTCTCTTGGGTTATCAAAGCATCTTCATATATAACATTGGAAGGAAACTTCCAATGCATGGTGGTCAAAGAAGGTAAGTAATTTTGTTGTTTGGCCCAATTCACGTTCTATTTCCTTACTTCTTTTTCCCTTGCTTGATAGACAATGACAATCCAAATCACATTTTATATGGATATTCATTTCTGCATACTTTTGTTTGAAGCATTTCAATGAACAGCTTTCAAACAACTTGAAGAAATGCCAAATCCTTTTTAAATCTCTATGTTGTCTTCCAAGATATAATAGGACAAGAAATTGAGAATGGAATCACGCTTTTCTTGTTTCTTTCTGGCATCTAAAGATACCTTTATTGGATGCATGGGGTGCTTGGTCACAGATACATGTTTATATATAAATATAGAACCTTGTTCAGACAAATTAATTCCAAGTTTCTAAGAACTATTTTTGATCCATTTCCACTGGTTTGAAGGGTCAATTTGGATCTTCCTCAAGTGTAAAATTGTCTTGAATAAGATGTGGAAGAAGATGATTTCATTTTTTTTTTGTGTGAAAACAAGCTTACTGCAATAAGTAGACACCTCAATAGAATATATAGGTCAAACAGGTAGAAATAGTTGTGTAAACCATTTGTACTTACAACTCAGATCATTTGAATACTAATCAGAGACAAGAATACGTTTTGTGTATAAAACTTTTAATTCTGGTTTCAACAGAAATAGTAGTAGAAGTAGAAAGTATTAGTCTTATTCTTATCCTCACAGATAGACGTGTTCATGGATCGGGTAGCCTGACGGTCCGGCCCGGTCCTCAGACAGGCTTGGACATGTTTTTAAGCCCACAGGCTTGATCTTGGGCCCAAAACACCAAGCCCGATTGATTTATGGGTTGGGCTCGGGATTTGTCAAAAAAGCCCAGCCAAATCTGGCCCAAGCCCAGTTTTCATAAAACTGAAAACCCCACCCGATGTTCCCTTTCCCTCTCTTTATCGTATATATTTTATCAGTTCTCACTTCTCAGAGAGCTCAAGCTAGAAATGGCCAATGAACCAGCGATCTCCAATGAGTCAGTTGCGAACATAGGCTAGCAACGGTAGGCGGAAGCCATTTTTTTTTGCATTACCTTCTCTGGTGAACTCAGGTAGCAGTGAGCCAGTGACTAGGTCCTCTCATCTTTCCGCTCTCTTCGCTTTCATCAATCTCCAGCGAATCATCGACGAACGTAGGCTAGCAGCAGCAGCCGATGAACTCAGGTAGCAACAATTAGGTCCTCTCTCTCTCTCTCTCTCTCTGTACCAGTGAACTCAGGAAATCGACGAATTAGGGCTTTGGGCTTTTTATAAGGGCCAGGCTCGGGCACAAGTTATAGGCCTGATGGTTGGGCCAGGTCGGGCTCGGGCCTGAAAAAAATTTATTAATGAAGAGTGAAAGCCTGGCCCATGAACAGATATGCTCCCAGACTATGGGGTTTAGGGATCTATTAGCTGAACCAATCCTAGTAAAATTTGACACTTAAGTTGCACTTAATTGGCCATGACCCAGTAGTTGAGATGGTTACTTTGGTCCCTCCCCGAATACAGAGGTGCAGGATCAAATCCACGTAACTGCAAGATCTTTGTGATAAGATTAGTGGGGAGAGAGAGAGAGAGGACATATTGAGAAAACAAATTTGAATAATTGAGAAATATGAATAAGCAGCTTATGGATCAAGAGTAGATCTGTTCTTGGGCCGGGTTTTGCTTCTTTATAAACAGAAAATTATTAGGCCCGAGCCCGAGCCCGAGCCCAAGCCCGGCCCTTTATAAAGCCCGACTTTAAAAGCCATTTTATAATATATTAATTATGTATTATTAATAAGATATTATATATTATATAATATTTTATACATTTAATATATGATACTTTTTTTTGCTATTAATTTTGTTATTATATAATATATATTATGTATTATTAACATATCTATATATTGTTATACATTTAAAATTATCGGGCCGGGATTATTTGGGAAAGCCTGAGCCCGAGCCCACGGGCTTAAAATTTTGCCCAAACCTGATTTAATACGGGTCGGGCTGGACCAGCCCATCAGGCTACTCGGCCCATGAACATGTCTAATCAAGAGGACCAGACTGGGAAAATGACTTAACGAAAAAATATCAGAAGGAACATCATTTTCCGACAATATGTACCAACTTTCTAGAAAATGTTTATCTTCTACTGATATTTCACATACAACCAAACACTGTAAAATAGCATTTTTTCAAAAAAAAAAGGAAACCACTCTCACAAGAATATGAAATCTACGGTCTAGAACCTAGGTATCACGGGTCTTCTTTCTTTTGTTTTTTTTTTTTTTTGTTTTTTAATTCAAACAAAACACGTGATATTACTGAGAGGCTACCTTAATTTTCAATCAAGAGTTCCACCCTCACGGAGTGTACTATGAGAGAGAAGAGACAACTATAGATGGAACACAAGCCCCAATTTTATTGCTTCAAACTCTCTTAGTGCCATCACATGTCTGTTTGATAACAGAAAGATTCCCGTGAAACTAAGCCTGTATTCAAACCATTCATGGAGGTGCTGGCCGCTAGGGGAAACATATGATTGTATGGTGCTAATCAGTGTCTGATTTTTGAGGCCTCAGGCTCTGTTTGTTTGCATCATGACTTTAATTTGCACTGGCGTAAAAGCATAGGAGTGCAAATAAAATAGGCTGAGTATCAATTCTGCTTTACATTTACTTCATATTTGACATTACCTTGTTTTCTTGTTAGAAATAAAACAAGAAGTAAAATGAAGTATAGTCCCCACCATATATAAGTGGCATCTTGTTTTCTCAAGAAAGAACACTTCAAAAATGGTTATTTTCACTCTCAAACAAAAGCTTCTTCCTTGTTACTTCTCAAAAAAGTTAGTGATAGTTAATTTCATGAAAAGAAAAAAAACAAAAGATCATTTCAAATGATGTAGGATGTATGAAGTGGGGTATTATTTAGAAATAAAACTTGATTAATCTATTAAATTAAATAGAAAATCTATACATAAAAAATCAAATAAAATAATAACATAATTTTCTTTGATAAGTGAAATAATAAACTAAATTTACAACATATAAATTATGTTTGAAATAAAATTTATTAAAATATATAAATAAAAAAGAATATAGACTAGAGAGCTCCCTCAAACAAGTGGTATCTTATTTTCTTAAGAAAAAGCATCTCAATAGTGGTTATTTAATTTCCACTCTCAGACAAAAACTTTCTTTCTCAAACACGTGTTTATCCACTTAAATGGTAGTTACCTCTATTCTCAAAACATGTAGTACTAATTACCTCCACTATAAAAAAAGAAAAAAAACAAAAAAATCATTTCAAATGATGGTAGTATCCATAAAGTAGGTTATTATTTAGAAATAAACATCAACTTAATCTCTTAAATTTAATTCAAATCTATACATAAAAAGTCAAATAAAATTACAACTTAACTTTACAACATCAAAATGGGTATCAAACAAAAATTATTAAAATACGTAAATAAAAAATTAGAATATTGGACCTGTATTTAATACATGGGTCATTCTCTAGTATATATTAAAGGAAAGCTTTCATACTAAAGTGCTTCTTTTTGAGACAAGTGGCATCTTATTTTCTCAAGAAAGAACATCTCAAAAATGGTTATTCCTTCTTTAGACATGTGTCCATCCATTCAAATGGTAGTTACCTACTTCCACTAAAATAAAAACAAAAAAAAAAAACAAAAACTCATTTCAAATGATGTAGGATCCATAAAGTTAGGTACTATTTAGAAATAAAACTTGATTTAATCTCTTAAATTAAATAACAAATCCATACATAAAAGATCAAATAAAGTAATAACATAAATTTACAATATAAAAAATGGGTGTCAAACAAAATTTATTAAAACACATAAACAAAAAAATATATCAAAATACTTGCCCGTACTTGGTACATGGGTTATTTTCTAGCTTTATATGAAAAAGAATGGAGGTAAGGGAAATGCTATTCATTTGAGATAAAGGTAGGAAGAAAGATGATATGGTTCCCATTTTATATGCATACGAGACAATTGAGATAGGAGGAACCATGTGCAAATTATGCCACCGTTTCTAGGATGCAAAATTTGCACTTTCAATAAGTGCAAATAAAATAAAAGGTACACATTTTATATCAGGTAAGAGTGCAAACCATAATTATTAACAAACAGTGCAAAACTGAACTAAATACAAAATTTGCATCTATTTCAAATTTGCACCGCAGACAAACAGGGCCTCGGGTTCAATAATTGATCCAAGTTTTCTTGGGGATGCCAACCCTACAGCCATCTTGTAGTTGTGAGTTTGGTTGCCATTCCAACATGAGACAGGTGGTACTAGAACCCCTTGTTACCTGTTGAACAGGTTGGACCTTGGAACTCAAACCATCCTTTACCTTTTCAGTTCAACCCACCCAACAGGTAACCAAGGTTTTTCTGCCACGTATGCTATGTTGGTGGTTATAGGGTCAGCGTTCCCGTTCCCCAATCTGGTCTAGAAAAGGGCCTAGGCCCTACAAAGCAGGAAAGCAGGAAAGCAGGAGAAATCCCTTTGATTCAGATTAAACTATTAACATCCATGGAAGACCTGCGGGTCTGAATCACTACCCACATCTCTTTCGCGTGCAGTTGAGGCCTAATCCTCAGATAGAAACCTTCCATCTTAAGGTATTTCTATACCGTAAATTCATGAATTTCGGCTGGGTTCCTAGATGATTCATTTTAACTTTCTTTAGTTGAAGTTGATGTCAAGGACAAAGAGAGACTATATAACGTGGAAAGGTGGTGCAGATGAAGAAAAAAAATCATACAAATCGGACTACAAATTTAGCCATCCATGGCTCCAATCTTATATGTGTGTATTATTTATTTATTTATAAATTAAATATAATTTATATTGCATTTTTGTAAGTTTTTTATATTAATTATTTTTTTATAAAAAGCATATATATATATATGATGAAAATAATTAAAAAGATATTTATGTTTTTTTTTGTTTTTTTCAAATTATTATATTTTATTTTTCTTTTAATAATTTATTAATTTTTTAACAAATTTAAATCGAATTGGATCAGATCCAAAAATCTGACTTTTTTATCAGATTCGAATTCAAATTTATACTTATGATATACCCTAATTCGAATCCGATCATCACGTTAGCATCCCTACCTTCCCACCCGTTTCTTTTTGTCCTTTGTTGGGCTGGGTTTGGCACAGTTTTGTCCATGGTGACCTAACTCGGGTTTGTGTAAGATTCTTGAAAGTTGAAAGGAATTGGGTTTAACCCGACCCATTTCTATTCCAATATAATATTGACATAATATTTCGTTGTTCCGTGAGACAATGAGGGCCCCCATTTCTGTTCTCAATTCTGAAACCTTCCTCACCTTCCATTTTGTATTTATTTCCTGTATTGAGATAACGTCTCTCTCTCTGTCTATACAGTTTTCTTTTCTCCATTATTGAATGGGAAGACACCCAACTGAGAATGACATGTATGCATAAAGTGACAAAACCCCAACATGATGGGGGAAGCCAAACAAAAAGAATGAAAGCAACAAGTGTATAGTGAAGAATAAGTTGGGTGAGGAAGAGCTTTCCTATACAGGTACTGAGTATACTGCTTCAGATAAAAAAAGAAAAAAAATCCAGATTAAGAAAACCATGGAACCCCAGAATATATACCAAGAGATCGAAGGAATGGAGAAACTGAACCCACGTACACAAATGGGATGTCTCTTGTCACTACCCATGAAACATGGGGTCTCATCTCATCTATCCCCCTCAGAAGATAAACATCCATGGAGCTGGCACCAATCCACACGTCGGCCGGGGGGATCGGATCTCCGGTGAGAACTGATCCAGGCGTCCAGATCCTACTTCTGTCTGCGTCGCTTGTGGCAATCAAGTTGGCGTGAAGCAACCATGACAGGCCTCAACGTTTCTGGCTTCTGCTGCTGCTGATGAGCTTAGAAATTATTATTATTATTATTATTGTTATTTGGACTTCCATTAATGGTTTCTCTGTTGTTAGTTATAATAATATTTCTTTTAATTCAATTACTAACTTGGTACTATTGTCTCTGGTTCTTGGTTCTTATCTACACTTCCTAACCAATGCAAGGAAAGTGTGAGACTGTGGGACAATGCTTGTGGAGAACGATTACCCACCAGCCCAAGCTATCAATCAAATCTTCATATCTTGATGACATATCCAATTTTCTTTCTTAATACATGAAAAGACTGATATTATCGCCTAAACTCTTGAAAGACCCTAAAGGCCTAAAGGGGTCATTTGTCTTTGAGATTGAGATATGTTGTAACAAGGATGGGAAATGAAATCCTTCTTAGTAAGACTTGTTTGGGTGGCAATGACAATTTGAGTGCGTGGCAATTAATTGATTTTAACTGACAAGAGAGTGAGAGACGTGTCTATTTCATTTTGTTTTGTTTTATTTTGGTAGAGGCAGTAGCTAGACGGACAAATATATGATTAAACAAGTATTTTAATATTGCTAGGACCAAAGAAGCAGCACTGATGATTTAATTATGTGCAACGCTAGAAGGAATGAATGATAACCCTACCATCCTTGGGGGGGTATGAGCCTCTCTAATTAATTAATCACAAAGAAACAAAAGCTAAACCAGGGTATTAATGTGTGGGTTTAGGGTTTCTCTCAATTCAACTCAACCTTAACGGCTAAACCTCAATTATTTGAGATTTAGGGCCTGTGGTACTGAATAGAGAAATAAAGAAATGAAAGAAAAGAAAGATGTAGATGAGAGGATTGCTTTATAATAAGGGAAAAGCAGAAAATCCAATGCATGTCATGCATAGGAACAATCTGGAGCAGAAAAACTAGGTAGAAGGAACCATTGGGATGTCTTATTATTCACCATATTATTGAAAAAAAATCTTTGCCTGAGAATTCGATTGTAACGATTTTGATGTAGTGTGATTAGACAGATTTTGGGCTGTGTTCTAAGAGTTTCCCATCAGTTTGATTTTAGTGATGGCGGATTTTGTTTCATTGCAGCACTGGTCAGCATGTTCAGATGACGCTAGAGAGAAACATTTGTTTTCAAGAGACAATACTATTGAACAGCTAGCCTGACATGTGGATACTCACAATCGTCACTTCTAGTAGCTTTGGGCTTTCTGTGCTCAAGCTCAAGGATGATGTTTTATGATCCTGTTTGCTTTAAAATTATGATAAATTTAGATAAAATGGCAGTGATTTGGATTTGGGCACGTGGGAGACTACTCTAATCCTATGTTTGGTTTGAAGGAAAAAATAGGAAAAGAGGTAAGGAAATTTTTATAAATTTTGTATAGGTTTTTTTTTTTTTACCTTTCCCTTCAAACCAAACATAGCATAATTATTTGAAAGAAAGAAAAAAAAAGTGTGCCAGGATTATCAATCTCCAAGATGAAATTAAGGGTTTATTATCATTTGGTTACATTTAAGGTTTATTTGGTTCACAATCAGAATTGGAATCATAATGGTTTATTCCCATAATTTATTTGGTTCAGACAGAAATGGCAATGGGAATTGAAATCAACAGGAATGGAATTTCACTCCCAACGGAGGGGGTAAGGAATGACCATTCCCTCAAATTGAGATTTCGATTCTACCCAACCAAATAATTAAAATCGGAATAGCCCAGTCTGATTCCAATTCCAGACCCTATTCTCACAAATCAAACGGGGCCTTAAATTCCATTCGTTTGATTGAGTGGAATAAGAATCCTGTTTCTATTCTTGGTAAAATGCCATTCCCCATCTGAGAGATTATGACCATTCCCTCCTCTTCGAGAATAAGAATAAATTCCAGCAAATTCTGATTCCTGTCTGAACCAAACAGCCAGAAGGAAAGACCATTCTCATGTCAATTCCAATTCCAATTAGGTAACTGTGAATCACAAGGACCTTAAAATTAAAAATTCTCTCAAAAATATTTTTTTTCTATTATTTTCCATCAAATCAAAGGAAAGAATTAACGTGGAACCAAAAAACACGGACACAGTCACACAGACACAAATCTGTCTTTTCACATCCATCTTTGTGACAACATTCATGAATAATGGCTAATAATTCAGTATTGAAAGCGATATGGCGATCGATGGGTTAATTTTTGGAGTGTTAGTTACAATATTATTTCATCCACAAATTTTTAGTTAGTTCGATCAGATGTTTTCAAACAATTAAACACTAGCGATATTTTCCTTGGTATATAGTAAAGGTTGATGATGAGTTGGTAGGAAGCTTAAGCCATTCCTTAGTTGAACCATTCATGCTATCCATATGCTAATTAAAGGAAGCAAATGGGCTGAAATTGTTTTCATTTACATTTAGCTTAAGATTTGGTAGCACAAATAATGACTCATTAAAGCGATGTTCATAAATGTGTTGAGTAAATTTGGTGGAAATAAATCTATTCGTTAAGGTTATGTTTGGTTTGAAGGAAAAGTATAGGAAAACCTGCTAACTGTTCTATCTTTCTTTATTTCCTTTCCCTTTGTTTTGTTTTTGGTGTAAAATATATCAACTTACTTAGTGATCAGGGCACACCCAACCCACTGTTTATCATCAAAGAAGTGGAGACACGGGGTGCTTTTTTCTCTTTAAAAAGGTACTTTTTGAGTGATGATTAGGGGTGTGCTTCCTTATGAGAAATGAGATTTGCTCAAAACAATCCTTATTTCAAAAGGGTGATCTTGGAAGCAAGCTAGTATAGAATTGAGTTCATCATCATCCAAGCCTTGTCCCAATTATTTGGGTCCGCAATGAAAATCATCTTTCGTCATTCCATTTCTATTCAATGTCATATCCATTGTTAAATTATGAGTGCTTAAATAATTTCTCATTATTTATAAAAAAACCATTTCTTATTACTTTCACTCAAATCCTTTCAGTCTGTCCTGCCTCTTCTAGCCCCTCAACTTTCTAGTGCAGAGCTAAGTTATAATACATAAAACAGTTGAGCTAGTCTCTAGTTAATTAAATCCTTGAATTTACAATCCAAAGATACTCTGTTCATTTTCTCATGTTTTTCCTTCCACCTTAGAAAAGCCATAATTTACTCCAAGCTTTTTTTTGAAAGCAATTTACTCCAAAAGTTGCTACTGTACTTTTCTGCATAATAATGTAATTCTCCTCAAGTAATTAACAACTTACAAGTAGCAGTATCTCACATACTAACATACATACATACATACAGATGCCTGCATTTTGTTTTCAAATGTTTGTACTTTGTAAGGCAAGTTGGTATCCTTTAATTATTTTTAAGTGCCCACCAAAGCTTACAATATCTATGACTATATCAAACTGAATTTTATAGTTTAAGCCAAGAATCGACTATTTTAATATTATGTTTAAACTTGTATATCTCCAGACATAAACATCATTACGAGAAGAAGTACAATGGACATATAAATTTAAATCTTACTTGATTTCTCTTTGTTTTTTGGGTATATCTCTAATTATTATCTTAAAGATTTTATCACAATATCCACCGAACTTTTCCATATCTAGAAGTAGTACAAACGACACCCAGAAACTTATAATCTACTCTAATTCATGTGTAAATATAAAACTATCCTATTGCAAACATCACCAAGAGAAGTAGTAATGTTGATATGTATAAGTGTGTTATCTTTCCTTCATTTTATTTTTTCTTTCATATTTGCAAGTCTGTAGATTGATGACAGAGAAGGGTTCTCCTTAAGTTAATTATATTATTAAGGATGTTATCACAAAATCCACCGAATTCTGCAATATCCATGAGAATTAATTAAAATTATTTCTTAATGCCAAATAAGACAAGTCAGAATTTAGATTTGGCTTGAAATTGATTCCTCCTGTACAACCTATAGCTATCAGAACCAGTCCAGCGCTTGGCTAGAAGATGGGGACCAGTCTAAGTCAATGTGGACCGATTTATTAATGGGGCAATAAAATAGTTCCCCGACATTTTCTAAGCTAATTAAACAAGTCTTCAAGCAAAATTAACAGCTTAAGTTTACTGTTTTTTTTTTTTTACTACTATTTCAATCACAGAGGATCTGCAAAAAAGAATGCTTAATTTAATATTATTGTCTGATCAAATCGTGGACCAAAGCCTATGGTAACAGTCAGAGACTTCACCAACTTAGCAAAAATGAGACCTTGGAACCTTTTCTATCGATCAGAAAGAAAAAGGGGAGTTAATTAAGTCATCATCTTATTTGGAGCAAACCATCTAATTATGCTTTAATTTCTATATACAGTATTAAATGATATCACATGCACCCTCATTATATCTGATTGCTGATGTCAAATGTCCATCCCCTTTTCACTCGACGTGGGACCTAAGTGTACTTTCTCCAATCTTGTTCTGCACTCCCACCTTGGAAGATCCATCTCTCTGTGTGTTTGAGAGAGAGACAGGGAGAGAAAAAGAGGTTGATGGGTTAAAAAAAATCAATACCTTTTGTTGACTAACTTGGCTGAGAAACAAAGAGCAGTCACCAGAAAAAAAATAAAAAGGTGGTGAGAATTAAAAAGATCGAATTTGCAAATCATTCCACGTATTTTGTAGATATGTTAATGGAATTACTTCATTGCAATCATCACTGAATTGATCTTGGAAATACAGAGCCAGATGGAAGTTGATAAGGGAGGACACCATGCCACGTGTCAACTTCAGGGTCTCAAAAGAACTATCAATATTCAATATTAAAAGCAGGCCATATATTATTCAATCAAAATTAAGCCTGACTTTTCCTTGGGAAGCACATAACTTATGGGAATGTACTAAACCAAGATGATTGAATTAAATTAAAATTATTGGTTTTGAGGGGAGCTAGAAAACGAGTCCTTCACTCAATATTCTTAAACAATAATATCACCTCGTCAACCAAAACAGTGAAAATTCCCAATTATATCTATGTGTTAAGCAACTGATCATGAAATCATGGGACCCTTTTTACATTTTCCAATTTGACTGGTCACTGCTCACCATATAATATTGAAGCCTGGAGTTCTGCTACAAGTAAGCTTATTACAAGCTAGAGCCATGGTGAAAACAAAATCTGAAAACATAGAATAAGCACAATTTACATGTGATGTCCATGGCATTTGTCCTACCCAGATCAAATGTAAGCACAATAATTTCCTTCATCTGTGCTAATCAGGGAGAGACCCTCTCAATAAATCTTTATCTACTGGTGTACACTTCTTAGTTGTTATCATCTTATGCATGCTTATAGTGACAGATAGTTCTGTCCTTATTTTAATTATTATTGCTCACACAATCAATAATATAAGTTGCTTACAATTATTTGTCTGTTTGTTCCTTTATTTATGGCTGCAAGAAAAGAATAATTCGGCGGCCATGAAGCCCATCATCCTCAATGGACCATGCAATGCATGCATGTCCCACCAACTTATCAATCCAAACAGTTCTTCCGTGAACGAGAATCAAATGGATAGGAACATCTCTTGTGAAAAGATGTCTAATTAGCTTTAAACTTTTTTTTTCTCCTTTAGCCTTAATTAATTGTAATAAGGTGCATGGTCTGCTTTTTAATTAGAATTTGAAGTTTGCAATATCACATCTAGAAATCAATTCTGAATTAAGAATGCAGAGAATTAGTCCCTTCAATTTAAAAAAAAAAAAAAACATACCATTTTGGAACTGTTTTTCATTAATTAATTTTTCTTATATAATTATATTTAACATTTAATTTTCCCATGCCACTTTACTAATTTATAATCCATCCTATACAATCAAATAATAGCCATTTAATTTGTTCATATATATAGTTCAAATCCTTATTATCTCTACTTTAACATGGTTTTATGGTTGATACTTGATAGATAGTTTATGTTAATAGATTAAATAGAATTGAATGGATATATTACATACAGTAGTAATATTTTATTTGTGAATTAATTATATATATATATATAGATAGAGAGAGAGAGAGAGAGAACTTAGCTAGGGCCAGAGACTCCAGGCTGACATTCTAAAGCTAAATAGTAGTGATTATCCACCATCTTGATCCAATAATTGTTTCACTATGATACATGGAAAACAACTTCTTTAAGGCTGTAGGCTGTGTTTGGTTTGAAGGAAAAAGTAGAGAAAGGAAGAGAACCCTTAACAAATCTTGTATAAGCTTCCCTGCCTTTCCCTTCCTTTCCCTACCTTTTCCTTCAAACCAAACATAACCTAAGGTTTTGTTTCTTATTCCCTTTTCTGGAGGGGGATGTTTATGTTGATCATTAATAGAAACAATTTAATGGTATTCTAGCACGTCTCCAGATGACGTGGCATGGATTATCAGTTACAGTAAGGTATTGACAGCTCATCAAATGGGCTAAAATCATGTCACACATACAGATCACACAATCACAGCCATCTGATTAGGAGCAAGTGGATGGGAAGAAAATCATGTGCACAGTTCTTTGTAGAGCATATACATTGCACAGCTAGGATTGTCAATTTGATTGGCTATAGTCCACACAAGGAGGGCCTAAACACCTAATTTGAAAACTACCCAAGTTCTCTATCTTTCTGAATCATTATTATTTTGTCTTTAGAAACAAGAATTTTGGAAAATAGCTAAAATTTTGTTTTTTTGAGTTATTAAAACGCCTTGGATTTCCTCATTTATAGCATTGAATCCTCATTCATGATCACTTCCCACTCCACCCACAAGTCATGCAAAGTCTTCTGGAGATGATTTCTTGTGTCCATGGTTCTTCTTGAAGATAGAGCTATACATGATCTCACAAGCATAAGTTCCTAGAATGTTGCCGTGGAACCTGACCTGTTAGCCACCTGTCATAACCGACTAGCCACAAGAGGTCTTGTCATCTATAAAATATTCCAACCACAAACAAGAGATCCTGAGGTTCTATTGATGAACTACATGCCAGCTCCCAACCATCCTCAGCTGTAGACAATTTTTACCAATTCAAACTCAAAAGCCTGATCATACCTCTTTCACCCATTTTCTCTCCAAAAGAATACATGGGTTTAAGGGACATAGAAGCAACTCTACCTCCAGGCTTTAGGTTTTATCCAAGCGATGAGGAGTTAGTCTGCCATTATCTCTATGGAAAGATTGCTAAGGGGGTAGTATCTAAAGGAACAATGGTGGATGTAGACTTGCATATCTGTGAGCCTTGGCAACTCCCAGGTGGGTAAACCCTTTAGTTCCATGGTTTCGGTTTTGTTTATTTCAAAGCATTCTTGTAGTATCAATCTCTCTCCCAGATGCTTCAACTATTTTCTTTTCAATACATGCTTCCTTTTTGATAAATTAACTATGGTCTTAGTAATTTCTATTCTGTTATATGAAATATATGAATTAAGCACTTTGATAATTGCTCATCTGCACTTACTTTCATGTTTGATGTCATAACCATTATTTATATTCACAGAGAAGANGAGAATAGAAGAGAGGAGAACAAGAGAGCATATCCAATAGCCTATCCTATTATATATCTATATATAGAAGGGAGATTTCAGAAGATCAACTTTCACCAAAAAGAAAGCAGAAGATTGACCAAGAAAAGGGAAAAAAAAATAGTCTGCCATATTGCAATATGCATGAAATGATAAGGCTGTGAATGATCAATAGTTTCTGGGTCCTTGTGTTTTCATGGTGCACTTACTTCTGTTTGTAATCTAAAAAGTAACGCTTTGTTTGCAAAAAGGCTTCATGTTATTTAGATTTTGTAATTATCTAAATGATCATTGCCAATGTTAAACATGAAAACGAAACACACAGCAGCCCCAGCCAAAAGTTGATGAGGCTACAGCCCTTCAACCCAAGGATCATAACCACTGATTTGATAGACTTTTTGGAATTTTAATGAGCTATCGTACGTATGTCTTTGGCCTTCTGTATATATAAAAGGATAGATATATTTATTTTAGACATTCACAGTTTATATAATGTTCTATCCATTCCCCAGTTTGGATTAATGGCTGGGTCCATGATCAGTATATTAATGGGTGAGAACTGAGAACCCTTCATGGATTGATTCAAGTTAGGGCACAAACAGCGTCCAGATGATAGATTGTTTCTTACAGTATAATTAATTCTTTTCCTGTATTTTAAGAGAAAGAGCTTTGTCTGCTAAAAGAAGAGAGCATATGTATTTCAAATGGAATTACAGTCCTAGTTTCTAACAGAAGTAGTCTTTCCTTCTAGCAATTATACAAGCTATGGATATGGAGATATATGCCAGCTGAATTCTTCATTATAGTTTCTTTTTACATGTATATCTTTACCAGAGACAAAAAAAAAACAAGTAATTGCGTAACATCCTGAATGGCCCACCAAAGCACAGAGGTGATGTGTCCGATTGGAGGGATAACCTGTTGAATGAAAACAACCCATTAGCTTAATCATTAATTTGGTCTTCTATGTGAATCTCTCTCTGCAACTAGCTCATCCAAGTCATGATCCTTTAGTGTCCGGAGACCTTAGATACAACACAAAAGCAAAGCGTCCTTATTTCCTTCATCTTCTTCTCTTTCTTTTTCTTCTTCTTCTTATCTCTTTCTCTTTCAAGTTATACCCTTATTTCCCGGCCATTGGCTAGGAACAGTCCATGCGTGAAATACAAAGCAACACTCAACCTCTAACGCGCAGTTTAAATAAAACGCAGTAGTTAACTTCTAATCACGAGTATGCATGATTAAATAAAATCATCATAAAACCCATGACAGAGACACGAGGTTTGGATATTCCAAGGTATAATTAATATTAATACAATAGAAAATTACAGACAAACCTATCACCATTCACCAATACAACAAGAAACACAAAAAGAAAAGGGATAGTTAAAAGCTTCCAACAGTGGCTCTTCTACTCTGTAATATAAATGCTGATATTTAGCCACCCAACTGTTCTAGCTAACTCCTCCCTATACCAGATTACTTGCCACATTCATCTACAACTCACAAATCAACACAACCCAATAAGGCAGGAAGCCATGGAAGACTGCAAGTGTGTGCATATATATATATATATATATATATATATATATATATATATA